CAAATTCATCATCATCATCATCATTACCCCAGTGCCGCAAAGGCTCCCACCAACGGTGGGGTATTGGGGGGTCGGATGTACACAGCCTTACCTCTGTGCTGAAGCCCAGAGAGACAGTAGTTTCTGGATGATCCATAGTGAAAATCGCGTCGAAACATGGAGTGACTGTTGCTTCATGACAAAGAAGCGCAGACAATTTAGTGAGTCATTTTGCTTTATTCCATCATATTCCCAAGCCAAAAAATAGTGAGTCTTTGGCTCCATTACAAAACAGAACCTGTCTTTTATAAAATTCTAAACCTATCCCGAAAAATCATTCTGGAGGATCTATGTAATTTAAATATTTTGCATGAAAAAGGTCTAAGTAACATCACACAAAAGTTAGCATACTCTGACAGAGAAAAGAAATGGTTTACTTGCAATATGAAGACATTTGGGTCTTGGTTCTGAAGGGAAGTTGAAGCTTTTTAAATATAAACCTAGCTAAGGGGTTTGGCATCGATATCATAGATCGATTCATGTTAGCCGACCCCAAATTCTTTTGGGATTAAGGTTTGGATGTTGTTGTTGTATAAAGGGAAAGTTGCGAAATAGGAGTAAAAAAGTTTGAAAATTACAAAATAGGACTGCCATGTTTTTATTCCCAAAATAACAGTAATTACTGCCAAGTTTGGAAAATATTGTCATGTTTGAAGTCAGGTACTGCCAAAATATGGCAGTAATTAGTCCTATTTTGGAAATAAAAACACAGCAGTCCTATTTTGGAATTTTCAATCTTTTTTACTCCTAGTTCGGGTAACATTCTCTTGTATAAACCCAGCTAAGAGACTATTTTAAGGTTTCATTGAGTGTAAACAAGGCAATTTAAGAAGACAAATAACAGAGGCAAAAGAAGAACAAAATAAGGGTAGAAAAATACTCCCTTTATAATCTTTTAATACCCCCTTCTGAAAATTCAATCTGATACAAACTCAACAATGAGCATCGATTTTCTTAAGCCTGAACTACAAAATGGGCATGAGTGGACAACATAACGGACACACTACAGATTCTCTACAAGTAGTACAGTTGACATAGTAGTATTGCAGAAAAAACGGTGATGATAAAAAAAATGCCTAGAAATAACCCAAAGAAAAAAGAAGTTCGTGATTGTGCTGTGAAGTTTCGGCAACTGCTATGTTTTGTAAGGGATTGCCAGAGGTAGGGGGCCTTAAGCACAAACTTGTTTGAAATAATCCATTATTAGTCCATTTGAATTACAGTACCTTAGAAGTCCACATGAACAAAAAAAGAAACTAAGAGATGTTAAATGGGGTGCATTTGTACCAATGTCATAAACCGCAATGTCGCTGAGGAATGTCTTGTCTGCTAGCCCTCCAAAAACCACCACCTTTGAGTTTCCGATGTTGACTGCGGTGTGCCCACTTCCAAAGGCAAAAGTTCAGATTCCTCAGAAAGAAGAATAATGCGTAAATTTAAACGGATAAAGATGAAATTGGAAACGCAAATCCTATATGTTTACCTCCGAGGTTGGGGGAGAACCCCGCCGCAATTGGAAGGAGAGGCTCGAATCCAGCAATACATGTTATCTCCTCACGGTGAAATAGTTGACTTCCGATCAGTTGGTCTTCAGACTCCGCCGTGAGGAAGCGTTTGCATGATTTAACAGAGCCGGCCGGTTCGGTCTTTAGCAGGTACTACGTAAGTAAGAATGGTGTGGTTCGAGAAATCAATTTTGTTAACGCCTTGGTTTTCTTTGCCCCTTCCTCCTTGCCGGAGCGTACACTGTACCGTTTCACTGGTTTGGTTTGGAAAAGGACGTTTTAACCAAAAAACAGTGGTTATCCATTAGATTTTGGGAAAATGAAAAACTAATAATCCAATTAATTAGGGAGTGTTTGCAATAGCCTTTGTTTAAAAAAAAATCATTTTTTGGAAAATGTGATTAAATAAAATTTGATAGTGTTTGAGAAAAAAGTGATTTTGAAAAGTAAAAGTTGGTAGTGTTTGGTAAAATAAGTTTCTTCGAGAAAAAAAAAAAAGTTTTTTTTGTGTAATAGAAAAGGAAAAACACTTTTCACACGAAAGCCGAGAAAAGTAAAATTGGTAGTGTTTGATAAATAAGTGTTTTTTAAGCCAAAAGCCCAGAAGTGTTTTTTTAAGCATTTGCAAACACTCCCTTAACAGTCTTCTTACAATAGTCTCATCTTTTTGTTATTTAAGAATAATTCAACATTTGCACCACATCTTCATTCGCTGGTCCTGACCAGTTAATGACCTGTTATTTCAAGTTATTTTCTTATCTTTGCAAAATATTATCTTTGTGAAAGGTGAGATTTTTGCTACCCTTGTTGTTGAGGTTTATTCCTTTAACCCTTGGACCCAACACGTAAGCCCAAAGATTTCGAATGGAGTAAGTATAAGGATATCTAGCCTAACAGCTATGAGATGGATCAGGAAACAAAAGTGATAGCAGGCAATGTAAGTAGGTATTATTAACTTCGTAATAACTCCCCTAAATACAATCTACTTGCTAATAAGGCACGTCGGCCGTTCGTCTTACAAGGCACTTAGAAAGGCTGCAAGTAAGAGTGCTGAAGCTAATATGCTAAGAATAGAAAGTTGCCAACCCTTTACAATGAAATAAATGCTTCTATTTATACCCGCCAATGGGCAGGTGGCTGTACTGACGTGGCAGCCTGTGGACCGCTGGTGTCCCAACTACCAAATCTTTAGCATTAAATGCACTTCCCGCCAGAATCTAGGTTTCCCGCCGGATCAGTGGGGACGTTCGTCCACCCGGGAAGTGAGTTGGATTGCTCCAAGTGACCCTTGAGGGATATTGGCTGTTCGTCTCCTGGCCTTGATAGATACTCACCATGTGCACTGGGTTTTCTCCGATGACTACAGGTTTGCTCTGGGGACGTTCGTCGCCATCCCTGGTGGCCCGTGGCTCTGCTCCTTGTCCCTGCATAGACGTTCGTCGGAATGAGCTGCTGGGCCTGAGTCCTCCAACACCAGACGTTCGTCCATCCTTAAAGAACATGGGCCTGTGGGCTGGCCTAGTTTCTAGCTGGACGCTCGTCTGGCAAAATGGGTTAGTGGGCCGGACCTCGGCTTGGGCCCTTAACCCAACACTTGTATTGGTAGCATAATTGAGTATTAGACGATTATCATTATCTACTACATGTAATAATAATATTCATTTCTTTCACACATTGTACTCATTTATTTTAACATAAAACACTTGAATGTACCAGGTGTACGATACAGTCCTTTGTACCGTATAATTTGCCCCTCCTTGCCTTGCCACCTGACATATTAATAGTTTAATTATATAATTCGAACGTAGTACAATATACTATTATGTTTTCTTTTAGTTGCACCATTGGTGAATTTTGCACCATTCACATATTTTATTTTGACTATATGTTACTACGTACTACGTATTTAACTATTTATTAATGTATTATTACTACCCGTCTCCTAAGATTGGGAGAATAGGGAGCAGTGTGGTTTTTAAAAAAATTGAAACTATGTAACTGTGATTGATATTGAAGTGGAGTATGAATTAAATAAAAATGAATTACAAGCACTCAAAACTCAAAATATTATCAAATACTTCCTCCGTTCTTGAATTCTTGCAACATGGTGATTTTTGCACTATTCACAGACTTTACTTTGACTACGATTTTCTTCTAATATATATAATTAATCAAATTATTACGTATAAAATGTTATTGAATTACTATCAATGTGAATTTCCAAATTAAAATATCAACTTTTTTTAATGTTTTTTAATACATAATTAAATATAATTACAGTCAAAGTTGTGCATTGATAAATGTGAAAGTCAAAATGTTGCAAGAATTAAAATTTTTTTTGGGTGGGCGGGGGAGGGGTAACGAAAAAGGTAAAACAGAGTAAATATATACGGAGTAGTAGAGAGTGTAATAATTGTTACTCGTATACACGAAGTACCATGCAACTTTTTGCTGTTTTTTTAAGAAATATACTAGTATTAAATTTATAATTTTTTATCTTTCCTGGCCTATAGTATCAATATTGCACAATTATTAATTTTAAAATAATGTTTAACATAGATACTTAAAAAGATACAATTAGGGTTTTAAAAAAGATGGTACGTACGAAGTATTAGTTAAAATAGTATAGTGAAAATAGATAATGAAATACAATCGTTTTGACTGTGGTGACTCCAAAATGACAAAAATAGACGCTTCATAAATTTCTCACTCAGAATTGATACGGATGTAATTTTTATTCCTATGAAATAGGTCGTAGATGAGACCGACTCAAATAAAAAAAATCATTGCTCCTATCGTGCTTTGTTTGTATTTTAAATTTAGCTATTTCTTTTTTATTAGTTTCCATATATACGTCATCGTTTCAAATTGCGGACCTCACCCGCAATATTGTGGTTGCCGCAACACCCTTATGATTTGGAATCACAGCCAAAACCGCAACATAACCGCGGACCTCACCCGCAATATTGTGGTTGCCGCAACACCCTTATGATTTGGAATCACAGCCAAAACCGCAACATAACCGCGATGAAACTGCAACGTAACTGCGACGGCGCCGCAACGTCCCGCAACTGCAATCGACCGTGACGTGACGCAACAAACCGCAACGCCTCCGCAATACGCATCACAGTGGCCGCAACCGCAATTTAAAACCTTGATATAAGGTAGTACGGAGTATTAGATTTTTTTTGACAGACGGAGTATTAGATTACGAAGTACGGAGTACTTCCTCCGTTCCTTTTTAATCGCAACAGTCCACTTTTCACGCTTGCCAACGCACAAGTTTGACCGTTAATATCTTTCATTCCTTATTAGTAAAAAAATTTAAAAAATCAGATTTTGAAAATTTAATATGAGAGGAATTTAAAAATATTTTTTAAAAATTTAATTCATAATACATTAATTAATAAAATGTAGTCAAAGTAGAATCTGTGAATAGTGAAAAAAGTCCTACGTTGCAATTAAAAGAGAACGGAGGTAGTATTATATTAGTGCAATTTACATCATTTTTATTCACGCATAGCCAACAAGCAAAAAGAAAAGATGAGCATGATGAAATAATAACAGAAACAATATACTCCGATCCGTATATAAAATGATCGAGCTAGGGTGCATTATGTATAGTTGAAAAGCTCGGTAGTAGAGTTTTGCGGCCTCAGCGACGTCCTCCGGCAAAGCTTCATCAACTCCTCCACCGCCTCGTCGATCTCCTCCTCCCCCCTCTCACTCACTATCTTCTCACTGAACTCCCTCGCCCGCCGTCGCAGCCGCTGCCCGCTCTTCTCCGCCACCACCTTCCTCACCACCCTCGCCACCTCATGTCTGTCCAACCTCCCCTCCATGTCCCTCTCCACCTCCTCCCCTATCCCCGACTCCGCCACCAACCTCGCGTTCAAAGGCTGATCCAACTGCATCGGCATCGCGATGATCGGAATCCCGAATTTCAAAGCCTCCATCACCGAGCTCCACCCGCAGTGGCTCAAGAACCCGCCCATGCTCGGATGTTCGAGAATCCTCCCCTGCGGGGCCCACCCTTCGACGACCTTCCCTCGTTTCCCCACTCTCTCGAGAAACCCCTTCGGCAGAGCCTCCTCCACCGCCCGGACGCTCCCATCCCCGCCGCACGCGCCGCCGGCCGGAAACCTAATGACCCAAAGGAAGTTGACTCCGCTGAGCTCTAACCCCAGAGCCACCTCCTCCATCTCCTCCTCGGTCAAGAAGTACTCGCTCCCGAAGGACGCGAAGACGGTCGAGCACCGCTGCTTCGTGTCCAGCCACTCCTTGATCTCCAGGTTCTCTCCGTCCGCCACCGTAGACCGAACGAGCGGACCGACCGGGACGCATCGTTTGTTGACCAACTTGCTGAGGTAATCGATATACCGCCCTTCGAGCTCCCGGAAAGTCTTGATGAGGATTATCCCGGACGACCCTTCCAAACAGCCGTCCACCCTCTCCGTGTCGCTTATAGCACGGCCGCCATCCACGTTCTCCGGGGGCTGTTCGAATATACGTTTGTTCCTGAAATACTCATGATCCCTGAGGTAGACCGTCGGGAAGGGGTACTCCTCGACCGGGTGCCCCCTCCCGACGTGAAACAGGTACGAGGACGAGGCCGCCCCGGGGCTGAGGAAAAGAACCGCCGGGATATTCTGGGCGCATGAGATCGTCGGAACCCACGGCTGGAGGAAATCGTACAGAACCAAGTCCGGCTTGAGGGTGGTGAGGAGGGTGGAGAAATGGGGCATGGCCATATCCATGGCGCTCTTGAGAGCGGGCATGAGATGGGGAGGGAGGCCATTGGTGGTGTGGTAGTGAGGGGGGAGGTGGGGGAGGTCAGGAAGGTGAAGCTCCACAAGCTTTATGGAAACAGAGTCTTTTTCTGAGAGGCTCTTCTTGATGGAGTTGAGGTTTACAGGGGTGGAGCAAATGTAAACGTAGAAGTTTCTGATGGTCAACGCCTTGGCGAGGACTAGGAATGGACAAATGTGACCATGGGCTAGCCATGGGAACATTAAAACCCTAATGCTTCTTTGTCTCGTATCCATTTTTATAATTAGAAAAGTCGTTTGAAGTGCGTGTCTATTTATAGGCTGCGGCGTAGAGGGCCGGGCCGGGTTGGGCTCCATTGCTTACTAAGCATGAATGGTCCGAAATGGGATGTACACGTGGCAATCATGCAAAATAATGTCCGCGTGGCAGCTTGGGCGTGGAGGGATGCAACTATGGAAGACACCGTTGCTAGCTAGAGTTTGTAGGGTAGTAAATGAGACGAGTATAGATATAGATATATTTATTAGTGACAACTCCGGTACCCTTCTAAAAAATGGGGTATCGTACCTACCATTCATTTGTTAGGATCAAACCATTTTATCATTTTTAATTTAGATTTAAATTATTCAACTGTTATATTTTTATTGGTCCATGTGGATAAAGAATATAGTACCTTATGAGTACCATAGAATCTACCATATTTATTTATGTAAAGCAAAAAAAAGTATGGAATGATATATTTCCAAAATATATGTGGGGATTGCTCTAATAATTCGAGTGATCTTGTTTTGTTTTTCTTTTCCTGATTTGGTATGGTTTCGTATATTCAAGAAAGTTTTTGTGTGACTAGATTACCTTGTTTGTTTAGTGATGAGTTCGTTCTCCAGCCTTCTTTAATAGGTTTATGAGTTCATCACGTTTGGCACAACTTGGTGTAAGAATATTTTTAATAGTTGTTAGCTTTTAGTGACTGAAAAGATTTAAAAAAAATGTTATACTCCCTCCGTCCCGTTAAGATTGTTCCATTTTATCTTTCGGAAAGTCCCCACTAAGATTGTCCCATATCAAATTTGGTAAAGTTTGTGTGGCTCTAAATCATTCTTACTTTATTTTTACATTTTCAATTCAATAATATCAACCACATAAACTCACTTTTCTTAATAATTGTGTCACTTTCTTCCGTCCAATGTTAGTGAGACGGAGGTAGTAGTAATTTGATCAAAAGCTGATTGTTTGATTTAATTCAGATTGATATAACAAGCAATTGTGACTAATTAATGCTAAAAGTTAATGACTTTCTCGAGATGCTACAAACTGCAGCATCTAGAAAAAGATCTTTTATTTTGTAAAAAGCTCTCTTAAATTCGTTCTACCACACATACAACTACAAGATTTTAGAGACTTTTTAAATAGTACAAAAGTTAGAAAGCGTTATGTTATCCTGCACATATATTTGTACCTTTTGTTTCAAAATGGTCTGTTCATAATAGATAAAGCGATAATAACCAAAATCATTTCCAAATCTTGATGTTTTTAGAGAATATAAATATAAGATTCTTATTTTCAAAATTTAAAATATTTTTACTTCAAGATTTTTTCCATATATATTTGAATTGAATTTGGTAACTCTGTACTCTCATTTAATTGCATATACACTTCGTGGTAGAACTGGAATTGTGAAGTGGAGATCAATACAAAATCCACATCACTTTTATTGTAGTAATGAAATGACAAAAGTGAAGGCCAACCAAATGATGATAAACAAATGTTTCTTCTACAAAATTACGAAAACATTTTGACATATATTAATTCACTTATCTACAAGTACACAACTGATCACAACTCTCTTGTAAGTTGTAAGAGTTTGTTGTAAAAACGGATGAATTAACCTTTAACATCACCCTAGCCTTATGATCATAGTTGAAGATTTTCATCACATGCGTAATATGTTTATGTCAATTTTAACTTTAATGAGGTGGTTTGCTATAGATATACCTTAAAGCACATGATAAAATATAACTCCGTATGTACCATCAGACCTACTAGTTGTATCATACGACAAATGAAATGAAATAATAAAGGTGAACTGATGAATAACGTACTTGTTATATAAATAATAATAAGGGGTAAAGATGAACTTTCATCTATATTATGATATCACCCTACTCAGGGACGGATCCAGGATTCTGAGTCAAGGGGGCGAAATTTTTCGTTAGTGTAGGGGGTGAATTTTTTTTTGTTAGTGTAGCGGGGTGAAAATCCCTAGTATAGCGGGGCGAAATTTTTTCGCTACTGTAGGGCTATGCGGCTATTTTTATTCAAAAAATGATATTAATACATGCACATCCTGAACGACATTTAAATCTATTACATTTTAAGTTTAGACGATGACAAAGACATCAACCGACAACCAATACATTTTTAATAACTTCTACATTGTTTAACCTCATGAATCGATTATTGAATTGTAATTTTTGTCCACCAAGGAGGGTGTTCGTGAGTCATGACTCATGAAAAGTTTTCTTAATATTACAATAGTAGTATACTAATAAGTATGAGATTGTTATTTTTAGAATAATATGCACCACATACACACACATATATATGGTGCATATTATATTTTAATATTTTTATTAATTCTATAATAATTTAGAGTTTATTATCCATGCAATAAATTATTTTTTGAAAGCAAGAAGTAAATGAATTATATGTAATCTAATGTCTATAAATATTTATATTTTGGATTCATTTCACGTGATCTAAAAATTGTGTAATTAGTGTGTCTGGTATTTAATATTGTTTGATATATGTTTTACGAAATCCAGTACTTGTTATCTAATAAAGATAATTAAACATTACAAAACTAGGAATTCTTATATAATAAGTATCCTAAATCTTAAATATCGAGTTACTCTATTGTTTATTTGTTTAAGTTATGTAAATTATTTTAGATGTTTCTTCTTTTAAATCTCCAATTAAGTACTACATTATGTAAGACTATATATATTAATTTTGAAAATTAAAAGTTAAGGGGGGCGAATCTAATTAAATTATGAAAGTTTTATGAAAATATTACATATATGATAAAAAAAAATTGAATGTCCAAGGGGGGCGGTCCCCCCCCCCCCTCCCCGCCCCCCCGCCCCCTAAATCCATCCCTGACCCTACTAGCTGTACCATCAGACCTACTAGTTGTATCATACGAGAAATGAAATGAAATAATAAAGGTGAACTAATAAATAACTTATTATATAAATAATAATAAGGGGTAAAGATGAACTATCATTTATATTATGATATCACCCTATTTGAGAGTCTTAGGAATTGAAATAGTGATTATATATATAGTATAATTGTCATTGTACTTTTCAAATGCTTCAAAGTATTGATCTTCCTTTCACGGGGAAGACACCTCACAGTTTCAGGTAGATCGAAGTTCGAACTTGCTACCAATGTCTGTTGCTTCGGTAGGATCTTGGAGGGAAGGCTTGATTTGTGCTTCCTCTGTTTTTGTTTTGAAAACAATTACAATAACATACATGAATAATATTATATTATGAATTATTTGGGGGCTTGCATGCCTAAGTTTGCCCAATATGCAGCTTGAACTCTTGATATATTAATTCTGTGGCTGGAATGAATATTTTACATTATGTTTGTTTATGGATGTACTATGTGTGAATGAATCTATGATCTCTAGTATAGTACGAGTATGCTTGACTTTGGTTGACTTATTTGGATCGTACGATGATTGTGACGTGTGTGGGTAGATCCGGACTGTGACAAATAGTGTACTTGAGATTATAAAAAATAGAGATGTTAGCACTTCTCCTTGATAAAACCGGACCCTATATATTCATACGAGAGTATTATTTCTCCTCTAACCCATTTTAATACAATCTAGACCCAACATTTTTCGTTGCTACATGCATGCCCCAATAAAGTCACTACTCCTCACTCAATGACACTTGAAACATATAAGATTGTTATTACTTTGACTTCATTCCATCGTGGGATTTTTCACTCGTAAAAGAAAATGATTTGACTACTTTTTTAACTTTTTAAAATGACTAAATGATTCATGTTTTTACAATAAAACAAAATTAGTCTTCTGTGTGAACTAAGCACTTTTAACTTCGTACAACAATGGGAAAATCATATGATTGAGTTTGAGCTTATATGTATGAGAGGAAGAACTTTGAAAGTGTTCCGGAAGATTTTCATACCTACTCATGTAGTGTGAGCCTAGAGTCTAGTGGGTCTCTCATTTCGCTGGTCTATCCTATGATGCACAAAGAATCTAACCAATTTCAGACCTATTGGATTTCACATAACAACCACAATCTTAACGAAAATTTTAGCACGTATCACTAGGGGTGGACAATTCGGTTTACGGTTCGGTTTTCTTCGGTTTCGGTTCGGTTTCGGTTTATTCGGGTTGGGATTATTTCTACCAAACTAAAACTATTTGTGTTTCGGTTTGGTTTCGGTTCGGTTTCGGTTCGGTTCAGTTTGAAGTTCGGTTTACCAAAGTAAAAAATATTATGTTTAATTTAGTTTGATTGGATTCGTTTGCTTATGTTTATTATTTTATTTGATCAAGTTTTATATTTTAGAATTGGAAAATGCAAGGAGTAGTCCATCTCATCTTTTTTTAATTTATTGATTATTTAAATAAAATGTAAAAGGAAATAAACGATAGAAAAATAAATAATAAAATATTATAAATTAAAACTTCTAACATCTTTTTATCACTACAAAAATTCACTTCTTACAAAAAATAAGATAGTTGATTAGCATTTATAATATCACGTACATAAAATATTCAAAAAAGCTAAAAGAGTTGGTGGTACAAATGTTGTAATATTCACAATTTTATTCAAATGAATCATGCAAAAATATAAATGCAATTTGCTATTGTTGTCGCCAAACATAATAAATACAAATATGTCATATTAGCTAACTTTGTCATAATGAATGTATGAAATGTGTAAAAGTTAAAATGATACGAGTATATGCTTAAATATGTATTTTCATATCTAAATTATTATTTTATATCTTAAAAATGAAGAGTGAAGATATATACAAAGTATATACGGAGTATATACGTGTGTGTGTGTGTGTGTTGTTCGGTGTTCGGTTCGGTTTACGGTTTTTCCGTTTTAAACCAAACCAAACCGAAGTACCAAACCATTCGGTTTGAACAAATGTTTACCAAACGGTTTACTTAAGTAAACCCAAACCAAACCAAACCAAATCAAACCACC